TAAATAACAACAAGTGGATGTTCTTTCTGTTCTTCAAATGCTCGGCTGATTTCACGTCTATTTAGAGCGATACGTTCTTCGTCACCTTCAATCAAACCAGGAATGTTATAAATTCTATAATGTTTGTCACCCAATATGCATGTTGTTGATTCAGTTCGATGTGTTACAGATCGAGCAGAAAAATCATGCTTGAAATGATGTTTACCAAGAATAATATTAGCTAAAAAGCTCTTACCCACACCACTATTACCGATAATAATCAATCCATACATATCTAGCATTGCTCTTGATGTCAACATCTATAATAATCTAGATCACAACATTTAAGTAACGTAACAATATTGCTTTCAATTTCAATATCTAATCGTTACGTTAATTTAATAAAATGCAAACTAGAACAACTCAGGTCGAAAAGTTCGACCATTGAATCTTGTCGGATTCGATTGGATCCAACAAGTTCCAATGAAATGATCCGACAAGGTTTTATTGAATCCTACAACAAAACTTAACAGATTCGATAAGATCCGATCGGATTTTAATCATTAAGCTTCAGTAGTTGTTCTCTTTTCGATTTACTATCATCTGTTAAATATGCAATAAATATTAAGATTTCTAACACCAATGGTCAAAAATCTATTGTCTGCCCTTCTTAGCACATTATTGGGCAAGCAAACGCGTAAGAAATCCAGATATAGTCATTAAACGCAATGCAAAGATATTAATAATTTGTAAACTATATCTTTACAGCTATACCCTTATACCTATATTTTTATGCCTATATTCTTACATCCATATCCTTATGTCTGTATCCTAATAATTATATCCTTATCACTATAGCCTTCAAGCGACACTCCAGCAGTTATAACTTTAGTCTCATACAATACGGATTAAGGTATCAGTTTTCGTGCTTGCTAAAACTTTGTTTTCTCTGTTATTGTAAACTCTTAAATGTTCTAAGTAGAATATAAAATATTTTGCAGCTAGATGAATAGTATCCTAAATGTTCATAAGCCTAGCGCTACGTTAAGGAGTGACATATAGCTCATACTATAGAGAAGATTCTCTTCCCATGACCGAAAAATAAATAGTACCGAAGACTTCCATGAAATCATGAAAAAAGGGTGGAAAGGAAGAAAATGAAATGCGGAAATACTGAAAGAGTACAGTCGAATTAATTATGCCAAAAGATTAAGTAGGTATCTGAAGTATGCTTGTTGAAAGGTGCTCATCTCTAATTGCCTATGTGTAAGAGCATGATTGTTACTGGTCATTGATCTTTCATTTCGATGAATTTTTTCAAACATTTTCGCATTTTTCAATTTTACTGTGAATACTTTTTGTTTTTGAGGAATGAGAAAAAATTT